GGATGGTGAGCCCTTTCCAGAGGTTTTCAGTGCGCTTTGCCCAGGTCCATGAGCAGACTCGCCGTCTGCGGTAGTGAGTTTCAGAATCAAGGCGTGTGAGACCGTCAGCTTTGTTCTTTCAAGATTGTTTTGGCTCTTGATTCTCAGTCTTTTGCATTTTCCCTCTTCCCATTTCTGTTCAAGGGCCAGAAAATTTATGGTCTACAAAACCACTTTTGAAATAACCACTCAGCGATTCCCTCTAGTAAAATAAAAAATTCAATAAAGGAGAAACCAGAGATATGTAAATCATCTGCGATTAATTAACAGACAGTAAAACAGTCACACATGTGATTATTAATAATGTAGCCACATGAAGCTTGAGGCAATGGCTGAGAAATGCTCCCTAAGAAAGTAGAAGCATGGAAATTAAAAGCAGTTTAGAATGCTTTAAATGATTTCAACAAAATACAGCAGGAGCATAGAAAGGGAAGGGAATTATGTTCAACTAATGGTCTTATCCTGTTTGGAAATTAGAGGTTATCTGTGTTAAGTCTCAAATTGGATAAAGATATGTAACTTCTAAAAAATATTACAGGAAAAGTGAAACCAATCAAGGCAGTTAAAAACAGTGTGAAAACAACAGCAGCAAAGTACTTGAAAAGTAGAAAACATGAAATAAGACAATAGCAAAGGTCCAAATATACCAGTCATCCCTCTACCCTGCTCCCGCCTGCTACCAAAAAAATGGAGCAGGTTAAATTCCCCACGTAAAAGACAGATATTCTGAAACTGAGCAAAGGACTAAGTTTTATATATAAGGTATTGAATGAGACCCCTCTGAAATAAAATGGCCTAAAAAGGTAAAAATATAAAGGCATAGACACAACTATAACAAGCAATAATGAAAAGGGGCAGCAATGCAAGGGGCAGAGCCGAGTTCAAGGCGGGAAGGTGCACAGAAGACCAAAATATTTTACACTGATAGAAGACACAAACCACCAAAGAGAACGCGTGACCACATTAGCTTTGAAATGCTGAATGCAGAGCAGTCGCCGGGTGAAGATGGGCGACGTATCTGCCTGGGTGGAGATGTTGGGAGATGTCGCTGGGGTCTGGAGCCCTAGGCTGCCCAGAGCCGGGGGACAGGCTGTACCGCCCCAGCCTCAGGTGCGCAGCCAACAGGTGCGTTCCAGGGACGCAGGCAGGGTCTGCAGATGCCATCACGTAGGAAAGCAGGGTTCCTGTACCCCCAGGTGGTGTGTGTAATCTGTGTAGTGTGCATGGATGTGACCCGATTCCTCCCATATCACCTGTCCAGTCTCAAACATCCTACGGTTCCTACACCTGCAAGAAAACCCCGCATTGCCAATAGGTGAGTGGCCCTCAGGAGTCAGGATGCTGTTCATGCTGCTCTTCCCGCTCTCCGTGTAGACCATAATGCACTGTCCTGGGCAGTGATGTGGTGCATGGGGACCTCCAGACTCGGGATGTCACTTGTGACACCCTGACTGCCCACAGTGGAGCACAGTGCACCCCATTGGGGCCAAGGTGTGGTCATCACCCCGACCTCTGGATTCCCTGCGGACCACACCAAGCCCAGGCTGGTGCTCTGGGCTCCGCAGCAGGAATAGGAACAGCTTCCTAACTTTGAGATTCCCACAGACCACTCCAGCTGAGTCTCTCACAAACCGGGAAGTCAGGGTTGGTTTGGGCCCCGTGGGGAGCACTGAGCATCTCACCTGCAATATCAGTGCCGCGCCTGAGCTTCTCACGGGTTCTGACCCCACAGCCACTTCTCTAAGAGGATACCAATAAGACTTTTCCCATGAACGCTGACCTACCTTCTGACGCCTGCACTCATTTAAAAATGAAAGGGTGGGATCATGTGCTGGGGAAAGAAGATTCAGGGGTATGGGGTTGACTATCAAGACCATTGCAAGTCCATACTGAATATTTAAAATCATGTTGAAGTTTGAAGTATTACTATTTAGATTTTAAAGTATAAAAATTTAATTCTTAACATCGAAGCTTTAAATTCTCACTTTTGAGAAAATATGAACAGCCTCTCTTGTTCTCATGGTCTTTTCCAGAGCTCTCAGAGACTGTGGTCTCCCCCCTTCCCCTGGGGTGACAATGGGCCATTTCCAGCAGGGACGGTGCAGTGTGGGCCCGGACGCCTGACAGCCACACACCGGCAGGACGTCGCGGTGTCTGAAAAGTGAGTGTGCAGCATTATGATTGGTATCTGTGTACACTGCAGCGTGCTTGCCTCCATAAGCCTCGGCCTCTTCAAAGACAGAAACTGTGCCTGTTTAGGTTGTATCCCTGGCACTTAACACAGAGCAAGGGCTCAGTGAACAGCAGTTGATTATAGAAATGGAGAAACAAAGGGGTGAAGGGAAATGAAAAGGTAAACTATCATTTATTGGCTCTACTCTGTGTCAATCACTATAACAGGGTAGAGATAGACCGATAGACTGGCTGATAGATAAAAATTAGATTGAAGAAAGATAGACTGTCCTGAGACAGTGAGCGAGACAGACAGACAGATTTAGAGGGAGCGAGGGAGGGAGGAAAATAAATACAGATGGATGGATGGGTGGACAGATGAATGGAGAGACAGACGGACAAAGGCACATAACCAGGTGAATATATTGACAGGCGTATATATGTAAATAGACAAATAGGCTGAAAGACAGATAGACAGACATAGAGACCAACAGATGGACCGTGAGATGGTTACTAGGTTAGATAGACAGATAGTAGTAAGACAGAAAGAGAGACAGATAGATAGACACAGACAGAAAACAGGAAAGAGGGAGTCAGACTGACAGTGAGGAAGGCAGATATTTATATAAGCAGTGAGATCGATAGGAAACTGTATAATCGGATAGATGGATGGCCAGACAGAAACAGAGATGGGTGGGGGGGTAGGTAAGCAGGTAGGCAAGTGGGCAGGTGTGCAGGTGGGTAGAAATAGAAAGGGAGAGATAGAGAATGCATTGGGTAGGTAGAAGATAGAGAAATATTATTTAACTTTAGCTAAAATTAACAAAATCCTGTCTTCCCCATGTGTAGGTGGGGAAATAGATACAAAGGGGTTTAGGGACTCCCCAAAGACCATCCTTGCTCTTGGATATTATGAAATGGATTTTTTTTTCTTTTTTGAAAATGCTTAATTGGCTGGTGTGTAGGAAAAGTATTGATTTTTGCACGTTGGTCCTGCTCCAGCCATTTAAATGTTCTCATTTGTTCCAATACTTAGCCATGGGCTTGTTCGGGACTTGGATGAAGTTGCTTCTAATGTTTTCAGTATCAGGCAGGGTGAGTCCTATAAGCTTGGGATCCGTACGTTTAATGAGCAAAGGAAGTTCCTTCTGTCTTTGTTTTGTTTCGAGCTGGCACAGTGAGTGAATGTAGGACTCGTCAGCACCTTTTGAGACCACATGGTTTTTCTCCTGTGACTTGTTAACATCAGCAGCAGAATCACATTGGGCTGTTAGAGGAAAATAGGGGACTTCAGGAGAGGGGGACTGACTTCCCTCATGCGAGTCTGCAGTGAGCCATGGCAGCTCCGGAAAGCTCCGGGCTTGTCTGGGGCACCTGGCTGCGCTGGCCCCTCATCTCCATCACCAGACACTCTCGGTGCTGCAGCTCCTGGCCCCATCTTTATCTTTATGTCTTTTTCTACAGTTTGGATTCATCCATTAGTCTTTTATGTTTTATATTTATGTTTATAAATGAAATCTGCCTGTGGTTTTCTTTTTTCTGTGACTTCTACTCTAGTTTTTAGTTTTAGTTTTAGTTTTGTTTTTGTTTTTGGTTAACCCTCACCCAGGATATTTTTTCCATTGATTTTTAGAGAGAGTGGAAGGGAGGGAGGGAGGGAGGGTGCAGGTGAGAGAGAGAGAGAGAAACATGGATGTGAGAGAGACACATCGATTGGTTGTCTCCCGCACACACCCAGACTGGGGATCAAACCTGCAACCCAGATATGTGCCCTTGACCAGGAATCAAACCCAAAACCCTTCCATGGGCACTGACCCTTTAACCACTGAGCCACACTGGCCAGGGCTATTCTAGTTTTGACATCAGAATTATTCTACCCTCATGAATCAGTTAGGGATAAGTTTAGCTACAAGTAACCAAGTGTTTGACCTATTTGGCTTGAACAAATAAGTGTTTTTAGGAGAAACATGACCAGAAACCCAGATGTGGGCCATCTGGGGCTGGTGCAAACATTCAGTGATTCCGTCAGGGATGGACTTTGCACGTTGGGTCTTGTCCTCTGGCTTCCTGCCTCCCAGTCCCAAGAGGGTGGGTGTCCTTACAGGGATGTCTTTGCCTAAGGCAGAAAGGAGGGGAGGCCAAGTGGGAAAGGACTGTCCCAGGTAAGTCTGTCCCTCTCTGTCCGATACGCAGAAGCTTCCCCACAAACCAGACCCAGATGACTCCTGTTTCCAGCACGTAAACCAAATTCCAGGTGACTGGCTTTGATGCACTGTGACTCAGCCCCGGTACTGGGAATGTCCGTCTTCTCTGAAACCAAGGTTTTCCACTGCTACCTGGTAAACCAGCAGTGGGCGAGTGGGGGTAGGATGGGCCACGCCTGCCATTCTTCCTGTACTCTTGACGCGCATTTCACCCTGTTACCAAAGGTCCATGTCTCTGCACGTGTCAGTTCTGTCCTCAGAAACCCCCAGTGGCATCCCCTGGGCCTCCTGTTGCAGTCCAGCTACTCACTGCTCTTATACCACTCGCCCTTGGACACGTGAGGTGTTTGTGCCTCTTGGCCTCAGCTCGTGGTGTTCAGCCAGCGTGCAGTGTCCTCTGAGCCTTCCCAAATCCTCCTCAAAACCCACCTCCCTGGCCAGAGTGGTTCCGCAGGTTGAGCGTCATTCTGTGCACCAAAAGGCTGCCAGTTCGATTCCTGGTCAGGGCATATGCCTGGGTTGCGGGTTTGATCCCCTGTCTGAGGATGAGGGGAACAACATGCTCTCATTCTCTGATTTGTCCCCCAGGTGGACGTGACAAGAGAAGTGACTCCCGGCCGAGGCTCCGGCCCATGGAGAGAGGGAAGAAGGCAGTCTCCTAGCTGGTGCCATAAACATCAGGTCCAGTAATTCTCTTACTTTCTGGCCACACCAAGCAAAAATTACCCCCCAGTAGGAGCCTGGCGCAGGATGGCATGTGAGCAATGCCAGCTCTCCGGTCACAGACCACCCACCCCCCAATCTCAGCCCCCAAGGTATGCACCTGAAACGAGCTTCTTTCCTCCTCGAGTCTTACCAAGGCCCTGGTGGGCTCCGAGAAGTTGATCAGCACGTCACAGCTGGTCAGAGTGACAGCTGTGGGCTGAGCTTAGGCCTGCATCCTGGCTCTGGAGTAGGAGCAGTGGTCCAGGTAGTTACCTCAAGAGAAAGAACAGGACATTCATCAATAGAGTGGACTTAAATCCCCACCCCCAGCATGTAAATGGCATGTACAGAGGGATGACACTTGACTTTGACTTTTATAATTTAATGTCATATGCGAGGAATCAGGCAGTTGTCGCAAACCAGCTCAAAAATATGTCCCAGCAGGAGAAAGGGCTCCTTCCCTCCACTGGGCCTCCGCGTGATCCCATCATGCGGCCACGGCCTGACCTTCGCTCCCCCCGTCTTACCTGCAGATGGATGGTTTCTAGCCTGCTCCCCAACCCCACCTCGGCTGAGTGCTGGGCGGCCCTTCTACATGATCACATGACGCTTGATATGGACGCAGTCCTGTCAGACTTTGTTCGGTCCACGGGGGCAGAACCTGGTCTGGCCAGAGACCTGCTGGAAGGTAAGCAGCCTCCTCGCCCCCACTGCTCCCTCTCAGGAGCCACTACCTGCCAACCCAGTGACGAAAGGTAAGATTTCTGTTACCTAACAACGGTGGCACTTGGACTCTTTAAAATGTAAGAAAGGGTGTTGGTAATGAAGTTATTCTTGACTTTATTTAGGGTATGGAATAGGTGACTCACTCTCTACAGGGAAAGCAGAAGGTCTCAGCCAGTCTTTTCCGTTCCAGCGGGGAGTCTGAGAGATGCTGTTTGGGCCTGTCTCACATGGGTGCCACCTAGTGGCCAGTCTGGGGCCTGGGCAGTAGTCCGTTCTGTGTGAAACCTGTGGAGAGTCAGAGCCATACATGAGCAGCCCAGGAGGGAGGGTTCTGCTCTGTCTTTGTGAGCTGACCGTGGAGGCGAGCATGGCTCAGTTGTAAATGGCTATGTGATAGAATTTAGATGTCATGGTTGACAGTACCAGTCTGCCCTAGAAAACAGCAGAGGCCAGCGGAAGATGTTCGGATATTATTTCATACAATCAAAGCCTCCTTCCTGTTGGTTTTTTGTTTGTTTGTTTGTTTAAATATGCCTATTGATTTCAGAGAAAGGAAGGGAGAGGGAGAGAGAGATAGAAACACCAATAATGAGAGTCACTGGTTGGCTGCCTCCTGCACGCCCCCCATTGGAGATCGAACCCACAACCTGGGCATGAGCCCTGACTGGGAATCAAACCGCAGTCTCCTGGCTCATAGGTCGATGCTCAACCGCTGAGCCACACCAGCCAGGCTCCTTCCTGTTGTTTACACAAATAATTCAGCCCATAATTAGTCAATGTGGTTAACACCAGCCATTTGAAGCTAATGGGACAGGATGTGATTTTATTTGCTCTTTCAAATGAAAGTCAGGTGTTGAATTCTCTGTCTTTAAAAAGGGCACAGTGGATGCCTACGCCTGGCTGGGTGGCTCAGTTGGTTGGAACACCGTCCTGTACACAAAAGGTCAGGGCACACACCCAGATTGCGGCTCAGTTCCCAGCTGGGGTGCATACAGGAGGCAGCCAATCAGTGTTTCTCTCTCCCTCCTCCCCTCTCTCTATAAAAAACATTCTCAGGTGAGGATTTTTAAAAGGGGGGCACAATGCCTAATTGAATGAGGTTCAGTGTGGGGTGCCTGGTCCCTTTCCTTAGGTGTCTGCTGACCCTCAGTCAGGAGTTGAAGCCCCAACAACAGTTTCCCTGGTGCTGCAAAGACTCCACTCCCACCCCGGGCACCGTCCCAATGCAGGGGCCCCCTCTGAGCACTCGCCCGGTGGCTCCCCAGTCCCCCTGGCGTCTCACCCACTCAGTACCTGAGCCCGAAGGCCACCTCCTACTCAGCCTGTGGCACAGACAATCCCTCCCGACTGTCTGAGTTTCCCATATTAAACTCAAAAGAAAAAGTGCAATTCTGAGCAAAAGCCCAAAGAAAAATTAGGAATGCTTTTTATTCCCTTTTTACTTTACATTTTGCTCCTCTCCGGGATAGGTTTTTGAGGGGAATATAATTGGGACTGTCACATGTGGTGTGTGCCCGTGTGTGTGAACTGAAGGCTGTGGACTGGATATAATAACATATTTCATGGGAACAAAAGTCATGGGTGTGAGACCGTGCTTTTAGAGGTTATGCCTGAAGTCACCGTATGCCTTTGAAAATGGAGAACTGTTGGTGGGAAGTTCATTAGTTAAATGCCGATGAGAAACCCTTCTTTGCACGGTTGTTTTCTATAATGAGACTACCACTCATGCCTCTGTGTTCTCATTGCTCATCACTTTTTATCCACAGGCAAAAACTGGGACCTGACCGCCGCTCTGAGTGACTATGAGCAGCTCCGACAGGTGCACACAGCCAACCTGCCGCATGTGTTCAACGAGGGCAGGTGCCCCAAGCAGCCTGAGCGAGAGCCGCCCCAGCCCGGGCACAAGGCGGAGCGGGCCTGCCTGCAGAGACAGGAGGACATTGCCCAAGGTACCGGCTGCAGGAATGAGCCTGGGCCCCAGGTTGCCTGGGCCAGCACACTGTGGTTTGCAGGGAATCGCCAACCTCCCTGCTGCGGGCCAGGCAGGCTCATCCCGCCTCTTGCTAAGCTGAAATGTCCTCAGAGAAGCAGGGGCGTCCATCGCAGGGGATTATAGGCCCGCAGTCCTCCCAGAGTCCTGGTTTTCCCAGGCCCAACATCTCAAGTTCTTTCCGTTCCATCTCAAGTAGTATAATCTCCAAGTCTATTCAACACTGATGTTCATCACCCCATGGGCTCCATGAGCTCCATTCTTGCTCTGAAGTAAGATATGCTTATTGTAACTAAGGAAACAATGCAAAATATATGAAGAATCATTTTTCTTCCATGCCTTAAGTCTCAGGGGAGTAATAACCAGTGATTACATCCCGGTCCGCCTCCGTCTGCGCCTCGCGCTACATTTGCTCCCAGTGCGAAGCCATCAGAGTCAGATGCACGCAGTACCCTGCAAACAGCCTCTTTCATTGACCAATAAATCCTGAGCCTGTTCTCTGAGTAGTTTATTCCACAGCGTACAGTAATTTTAAACCACACCTGTTTCTTTCTTGGGTTTTGTTGTTGTTTGGTTTGGCACTGTGGCAATATGCTTCCTGCCCGCAGCCTTACGGACTGGTGCTTCTATTTCCCAGGGGAGCGTCTCCCAACTGGGCTTGCTCTACCCACGTGTGTACTTTTAATTTAGCAACTTCCGGAGTTCTTTCCCGAATAGTTCTGCTTGCCACGCGTGGAACTTGCGTTTCCCTTCATTCGTGCAGGACTGGCTGTCCTCACAGTGGACTTACGTTGTTTCTGTGCTCCAAAGAGTGGAAAATAGTGTCATTTTAACTTCTCTCTTGTCATTTGCTTGTTGGCCACTTGGATTTCCCTGTCTGCTACATGCATGTTCACATACTTTACCCATTTTTCTATAGATTTGTTTGCATTTTTCTTGTCAATTTGTAGCATTCAAAGCCTCATACTATTGTATACACAACATGATTCAGCCGATAATTAGTTATATGTATATGTCCCACTGGGCTGTTTGCTTCACGACTTTGTTCGCAAAATATTCTGCCAAATGAAGTGTTTGCTTGACTATGTGCTCATGGCTGTGTGCTCATGGCTGTGCATTCACGGCTATGCATTCACGACCATGGGTTCGTGCCTGTGCATTCACGGCTATGGGTTCATGGCCATGTGCTCATGACTAGGGATGGAACCCACAACCTGGGCATGTACCCTGATTGGGAATCAAACCCGCCACTTTTTGGTGCACAGGACAACGCCAACCAACTGAGCTGCACTGGCCAGGGCTGAAATTTTTATAAATAATAGCTCAGGCTCTAGTTTTGCTTCTCTTGGATTGAGAGTGAGTTACTCTAGCGCATTTACTGAATAAAAATTCCTTTCCCACTGAATTGAAATGCCACCTGGGCCATATGTTAAATTGACAAATATTCATGGATCTGTTTCCGGACTCGGTCCATCCATGTAGCTGCCCATCCTGTTACATTTAACTGATGGAGTTCCATATTGTATTTCTCTCTGCTTAGGCCAAGTCCATTTATTGCTATGCTTTTCCAAAAGGTTTTCACTATTTTTGTGTATTTATTCTGCCATATAAGCCTTAAAATTAGAATTCTATTTTATTTTAGGAATAATTGGCATATTGTCATATCATGTTCCTATCTAAAAACATTGCATATGCTTCTCCATTTATTCAGATTCTGTTAAGACTTTAGGCATCAAGAAAAATAACTTACTTTTTGTGTATTTATCTTTTATCTAGTCGTCGTGTAAATTTTCTTATTAATACTCGTATTATTAATTCTCTTATTAAGACTACTCTAATCACTTGGGTTTTCTAACTATAGAATCATAGCATCTGAAGTAATTTAATATTCTTCATATTTACACAATGAATTCCATTTGTCTCTTGTTGCATTAGGCGCCCCCCCCCAACTGTTGTGAATGAATGTTGAGTTTGTTTCTGCTCTCTTGGCCTCGCCATTCTAGCTGTATCTGAATCTCTGTCCCCCCCTTCAGAAAAGCGTCTGTCCCGAGGCATTTCCCACGCCAGCTCCGCCATCGTGTCCCTGGCCCGCTCCCACGTGGCAAGTGAGTGCAGCAGCGAGCAGTTCCCCCTGGAGATGCCAATCTACACGTTCCAGCTGCCGGACCTGAGCGTGTACAGTGAGGACTTCCGGAGCTTCATCGAGCGGGACCTGATCGAGCAGGCAACCATGGTGGCTCTGGAGCAGGCGGGTGAGTGTGCCTCCCAGGGCCAGGGACCAGAGGCTCAGGCACCTGTGGTCTCACTTCCCTCAGAGAGCAGGAGACGTGTGTTGTCAGACCTAAGCGTGTTCAGTTGGGACTCTGGGTGCTAGGACCGAACCCCTGCTCTAAAGACAGGCTCTGCCCCAGCCCAGTGCTGGCTGGACATAGCATCCATGACCCTGCAGGGCTGAGATCTTGGGAATTTTTCCTTCGTTCCTAAGTCCAATCTGGCAAGACCAGTCTCCCTCCCGTGCCCCCCACCATGAGAGCTCAGTGCTGAACTGCCTGCTTCTCTCCTTTTCCCCATCTGACTCCCCCAGGGGTGAGGGGGACACAAGGCAGGAGGGGTGTCACGGGCACCCCTGGCAGAGGGGCTCAGCCTCAGAGGCTTGGCTAATTTGAGGAAGGCCAAGGCTGGGGCAGAGGAGCAGGTGAAGAGAGGGCTGGAGGGTTGGAAAGAAGGCAGTGGAGTAGCAGTTGACCAGTTGAACATGTGTGTCTGGAGTTCTGGCGTAGTCTGGGCTAATGTGGGAGTTTGCAGTGAGATGACATCCAGGGGAGGGGTGAGCTCATTGTGGGGACCTCCTACTATGCCCCAACACAGCTCTGCTTGATGTTGAGGACCAGTGGATGAGGGAGTCCGGAGCATGGACAACCCAGAGCCAAGCATCACAGTCCTGTGATGGGGACAGGGGGGCATGTAGAGACACACACAAGGCACCGTGATGCCCAGAGAAGGGGGATCAGTGGCCCTGGGTGGGTGGGGTCTCTCCAGAAGGGTAGTGAGGTTTAAAGGAATCCTAGGGTTACCTTTAGTGCAAGAGGTCACTCGTCTTTCTCCTAGAGAATGGTCACGTTTTGTCTTCTTTCACCAAAGTGTCTTAGTGGGTGATGAGGAAAATGGCATCTTATTTTAAACCTGTGGCAACCGTCTGTTACGAAGCTCAAGCTAACTGGTCCCATTATCATGTGTGAATCAGGAGTGTTGCTTGGAAAAGGCAGAATGAATGACTAAGGGCTCCTCCCCCGAGATCCCACCAGCTTCCCTCAATGGTGTCCATCTGATCGTCTCCTTGGCAGGAGCTCAAGTTTTTGTTTATTTTTTAAATATTCCCAGCACCAGTTCCCACGTAATTTCTCTGCTCTTAAGTGCAGTTGTTGGGTGGGGAGCTGGAATGACCACTCCCTCAAAGTCAGGAACTGGAGCTTTGAACCGTGCTCCCAGCCACACTGCTTCTGCAAGGAATGCCTTCATCCCCGTGTCCCCTTCTGGGTCCAGCTGGAGACGCTGGAATGGCCCTGGGCCAGTACCATGTAGGCTCATCTTCCCGGGGTGGGCGCACCAATGGCAGCCCCAGGAATGCACTCAACTGGGTAGGAGTCCTGGAAGCCGACTTCATCAGACCACTGAGCCTCGCCTCCCACCCCCCAGCCACATAATTAAGCTTTGTCGTGATTCGATTACCTTCAAACTGTGACAGTGTGTGGGCTGGACTGAGATTTAGAAAATGATCGAGTCCCCGTAAAAAAAATGAGTAAAAGAAAGAAATGTTTAGGGAAAAGGCACTGTTCAAAGTGGTATTATTCACAGACCTAGAGAGGTTTTCCAGGGGTACGAGGTCACTTGCAGATGAAAGATGCCATCCAGCTGTGCTGGTGAGTTTGTACCCCTGGGTCCTGAGCCGTGGATGCACCAGGACAAGGTGGGACCCAGCCCCAGAGGAGTGAGGGCTTGGGCTCTGACATGAGCCAGATTCTGTCTCAGCGTGGCTTCCCTGTGCACACTGTTTGATGGACAGGTTGCTAACATGCTCAATCACTGTTTATGCTGCTAAGGGAGTGAGGTATCTTCTAACCTCACACATGTGGTTCCCAGGGACGACTCTGCCTGGGCATCAGTACCCAGCCTATGGCACGTTTCAGGAAGAGGAAGGGAACTTTAGAAGAATTGGGGCAAGAACATTATCTAAATTGTATAAAAGGAGCATCTTTTCAGGTGGCATTTCCCCTGAAACTTCGGGTGCCTTCCCTGTTTTATGGGACACCCCAGAAGCCAAGGGATTGGGAAGCCATTCATGATTGGGGGAAAACACATTCATGATTGGGATGGACACTGGAGTCATGAGGGGAACAGAAAGAACAGAAATCTGTCTTCTGGAGGATGAGGAACCACACCATGGGGCTTCTAAAAGTCATAGAATCTATTCCCCCACCCTGGGCAGGGCCCCCACCAGACCTGGTGGGACAGCTTGGTGTTGCACATGAAAAGCAAGGTCACCATCTCCCTCAGGCTCAGAGGCCACCCTTTCTCTAGGTCGTCGGCTCTCCCTCTTCCCACCAGCACTAGGCAGGCCTGGGGCTGCAGGGTCAGATTCCCTGCATGTTCAAGCACCATGAGTCTGCTTTTAACTCAAGTGAATATTTTTAAATCATTTCCCTTCACTGGTTTTAAAGTTATACACTCTTTCCATTATCGAGAGGTTACCCTAAAAAATACAAAATGCATAGGAGTCACATCTCAAATCAATCAATATTTTAACCTAGTTTTATTTTATTCACCCTCCCTCCTGATTTACACTGTTATTTATCTTAGTTCTGTACTTTTAATCTCATCAGACATTATTGCTACTTATTGCAGTCAGTGCTCATGTACATGTACCCATATATTTACCAGTTTTGTTTCTCTTCATTTCTTCTTGCATATCAGACCCTCCTTCTGTTTGAAGTTCATCTTTTACAATTTCCTTAGGTGAGTGTCTGCTGATTTTACTCTTGGTTTTTATTAGTCTTAAAATGTCTTTGTTTTGCCCCTGTTTTTGAAAAACGTTTTTTCTGGACACAGTGTCTTCGGTTGCCAGTAATTTTCATTCAGCTCATTGAAGATACTATTCCATTGGTGCCTGGTTTCCATTGTTTCTTTTGAAGAGTTGGCTGTCCACACTCCTTTGAAGATCATCATTTTTAGACTCTAAGATCTTTTCTGTGTCTTTTACAGTCTGCAGTTTCATTAAGATATGTGAAGAAATAAACTAATTTTCTTTTTCTTGCTTGGAATATTCTAGACTTAATAAATCTGTGATTTATTTCTATATATTTCTTCTAAAAAATCCTCAGTCGTGATCTCTTCGCTATTGCCTCTGCCTCGTTCCTTTCTGAATTTCTATTAGACAGTGTTAGGCCTCTCCAGCCCGTCCTTCATGTCTCTCTTTTGTATTTTCTACCTCCTTTCTTCTCTCTTAGTTGCATTCTGGGTTTCTTCTGACTTATCTTCAAGTATATTTTTTCTTCAAAGATGTCTAGTCTGATATTAAACTGATTCTGAGTTGTGTACTTTATCTTTTTATTATATTTCATTTTTTTAGTTCTATTTTTGTTTTACAAATCTGCCTCCTATTCTTTGGCCATGTTTTGTTTCATTCTTTTATATCTTTTAAACATTTTAAACAGGCTTATTTATCGTCTCTAGGTAACAGTTTTGAACCTCAGGTTCGTAAGCCTCTGTGAACTGCTGATTTTGTGTTTGTGACTCTTACTCATGATGGCTTGGTTCCTGTTGGGTTTGTAATTTTGGGCTGTGAGCAGGATATTATCTGTGGGGACCTGGTGTGGCCTGCGTTGAGGGTCTTCTCCACTGTTTTGAGAGAGATGTTTGTCTATTTGTTTAGCCCAGATTCCCAAGGGAAATTACCAGGCTATAACAGTGTTTAGGTTAATCTCTTGGTTTCAGGGTTCTAAGCTGCGAGTCAATGTTGGCTCAAATCAGAGCCAAGTCAATAGTTACATTTCTGGTAGAATCAGGTTTTGTTTTTTAATTCCTCTGCTAAGCCTAGGCTAGAAGAGACCAATTTCCCTCTCAGCTTCTTTGCCAGTCAGAAAATTATTTCTAATCCTTGCACTCAGGGGACAGTTTTTGAGGGTCTTAACTATATGTGGAGGGGAGAGGGCTCCTCAGTTCCAATTTCCTACATCACAGGTTCTCGGGGCCTTTTCCTGACTTTTGTGACGAGATTAAACAGGTAAATATCTCCTCCCACAGGCAGTTGGCACATATTTTTTATTTCCATCCTGTATAATTTTTGGTTATTAGGGGTTTACCACTCTTCATCTCAAACTTGAATGTACCTTTCAAAGGTTGTTGAGGAGGATTTTTTTTTTCTGTGGTCCCTTTTGCTTCTTACTTCTGTGTCTTCCCACTTAGATCTGGGAGAGGGCTCCTCTCTTCTAATGGCTGATGACACAGCCCTCAGCTCCCACTTTCTTTGCTGTTCTGCACACATGTGCACAACCTGTTACCTTAAGTGATTTATTTTGCTGTGCACTTCAGAGAAATCAAGGATAGTTCCATGAAGAATAACTGACAAAGTGGAAGTCGTGGAAGTCCACGGGAGGTTGTGGGGATATAAGAAGTACGTCCATGTTTTTAAAAAGGCATTTTCTTTGGTTCATTGCCCTTGACACTGATAAATGAGGTCAGCTGGGCTCTGCTCTTTTCTTCCGTTCCTGGCATGGTTTCTTTTCCCTTAGACCTACTCAGCTTATTTCTTTAAAGGCTCCTTCTCCTAATGATACCACCTAACAACGAATGTGGGCAGAAGCGTTAACCTGCTGTGTCCAGGCCTACTCTAGTCCAGAGGGTAGCGAGCGTTCCTGAGGGCCCCCGGACAGTGCTGCTCAGGCTCACTGTACTGTAGGACCAGGTTTTTAAAATTTCCAACCTGCCATGGCCGGTGTGGCTCTGTGGTTAGAGAATCGGCCTGTGTACCAAAGGGTCGTGGGTTTGATTCCCAGTCAAGAGCTTATACCTGGGTTGCAGGTCCCATCCCCGGCCCCTGTGGGGCACATGCAGGAAGCAACCAATCAGTGTGTCTCTCTCTCTTTCTCTCTCTCTTCCCCTCCCTTCCACTGTCTCCAAAAATCCATGGAAAAAATATCCTTGGGTGAGGAGGATTAACAGAAAATAAAGAAATAAATAAAATTTCCAATCTTCTATAAGGAACCAATACTTCCATAATAGTCAATAAAAATAGTGCAGCAAAGCCTATTGCTATAAAAACTCCTCAGCAGTTCCTCTCAGTGCTATCCTCACCTCGCTGCACCCGCAGACCTCCCTGGACAGCACCGGGCCGTCCGCAGCAAAAGAGCTGCCCTTCTGACCTGTCCTCTGACCTCACCTCGCAGGTTGCAAATGCAAGTGTGCTTACCCCCAAAGGCCGTCCGCAGGAAAAGAGCTGCCCTTCTGACCTCTCCTCTGACCTCACCTCGCAGGTTGCAAATGCAAGTGTGCTTACCCCCAAAGTGTGTGCAGGCTCATTCCCATACTCATCAGTTTATTCATAAATACTTTCTGTGACTTAACCCAGGGTTTCAGACCTGCTTTGACAAAAACACGTATATGGTGTTTTCTATATACCAAGCCCTGTTGTAAATGCTTCAAAAATATTAATACTATTTACTTGTAAAAGCTCTATTAGATCAATACTTTTATTATCCCCATTTTTTTCAGAAGAGGGAACTAACATAGAGAGGTTCTGTAAGTTGTCCAAAGTCATCGTTCAAGGTCACGCTGCTAAGAAGTAGTGCACTGAGACTCAAACCCAGGAAGGCTAGCTCCAGGTCCTTGTACTTAACCACTCTTCTGGTTACGTCTCTGAGCCTTTGACTAGTGTCTTGAACAGATATTTTGGCCTCAGTTCTGCAAGAGCAGGTCCTCCAAAGCGTGCTTTATGGGCGAATACTTCATCCCCTCCCCATCGTCAATGGGAAACAACTGGGCATCACTGCACACAGCTCCGCAGTGAGGAGGACCTGCAGGTCTTCCGCAGCCTTCGCAGAAACATGATGATTGATTAGTCTTGTCTGTCTCAAAAAGGATGGCTTATTAATGTTGTCTACCTGGGACCAACATGAAACAACAGCAGAGAAGTCTTGCCTGTAGGCTTCAGGGCTCTGTGCCTCTGAATAATCTGAAAATTTAGAACATTTTAAAAAATATTTTTGTTACTGATTTTAGAGAGAGAGGAGGGGAGAGGAAGAGAGAGAAACATTGATTAGAGAGAGTCAGTGATCGGCTGCCTCCTGCACGCCCCCTACTGGGGTCGAGCCTGCCACCAGGCATGTGCCCTGACCGGAAATCGAACCTGTGACCTTTTGGTGCATGGATGACGCTCAATCACTGAGCCACACTGGCCAGGTGAAAATTTTGAAAATTTAAACCAATCTGTCTATTGAGGGGGAGAAAAATTCAGTCAAACCAGTCACTGCATCAGTGAGATTCCCCCAAGCGTGTTTAACTGAATTCAACCCATTTTTTGAAACTGAAGATAAATGAGGTCATTTACATAAAAATGGTCTTCGGCACCAGAATTGAATGTGTTCATTCCTATGTGTGAAACTGTGGAACAAACCCACATGGCATTCTCTTTGCTCTGAACATTTTCTTTTTTTTTTTCTTTTTTTAAAATATATCTTTATTGATTTCAGAGGGAGGAAAGGAGAGGGAGAGAGAGAAACATCAATGATGAGAGGGTCATTGATTGAGCCCACAACCCAGGTATGTGCCCTGACCGGGAATCGAACCCCGATCTCCTGGATCCTAGGTTGCTGCTCAACCGCTGAGCCACGCCCGGCCAGGCTGCTCTGAACATTTTCAAATCTACAGGAAATTTGAAAGATTAGTACCAAGATTACACGAAGAGTTGCTAGTTTTTAGAGTTCTGTCACAGTTGCACGCTCTCTCTCTCTCTGTTTCTCTGTCTCTCTGTCTCTGTCCCTCTCTCTCTGTCTCTGCTTCTCTATATCTCTGTCCCTCTCTGTTTCTCTCTGTCTCTCTCTCTCTGTTTCTCTCTGTCTGTCTCTCTCTAGAGACATGTCCTCAGGTAAGGATTAAAAAGTAAAGAAAAGAAAAGAGAGAGTAGCTACAATGCCCCACCTTCCCACCAAGGCTCCGAAACCCCTCTGGAACATCACAGGCTGAGGTTTGTGCTGACGCGCTCCCGAAGGTGCCCCTGCCCCGGGCCTGTTCTGAAGCGGCCTCTGTTGCAGGTCGCCTGAACTGGTGGTCCACGGTGTGCACCAGCTGCAAACGGCTGCTTCCTTTGGCCACCACAGGGGATGGGAACTGCCTCTTACACGCCGCCTCACTGGGTAAGCTCCGCAGGCAGACAGAGGTGGCAGCGCCCTGGGCCTGCTCTGGGCATTGTTCGGTGGCTGCGCAGGGCTGAGTAGGGCCGCACTCCTTTCCGTGGCCTGGGCTGCACCTCTCGTTGGTTGGGTTTCTGGACCGTGTCCGCGCTGCTCTGAGCATGTATGCTGAGCGGCTGGTTTGTCATCATCACCCCTCACCACTCAGCACGGGCTGGGGAGGGGTGGGGACCTTCTCCCGGGGAAGCCGGCTGTCTCCTGGGCCCAGACTGTGCTGTGAGGCCTACTCTGCTTCTCAGGAGGTTGAGATGCGTTGGGGCAGCGGGCCAACCCGAGATGAAGCCAGGGTCTGTCAGCTTGTCCCCATAGGCTATCTCTCACTCAAACGCAAGACCTGCACAGTGAACATTATGTCCCTCAAAGCAAACTTAAGAGATCAAGAGTAGCTGGCAAAGGGTCCCAGAGAGGCATCGCCTGATGTCACTCGCTGTTGTTTCGTAAAGAAGGGGACATGCCCTTCATTAACCTGCGTGTGTGGACAGGAAACATCAGGAAAGAGTAGGGGGAGCTGCTGGCTGATCCTGAGGACTGAACAGGGACTGATGGGTTATCTGTGCACACAGACGCAGGAGGCCCGGCCGGTTGTGAAGTCGCAGTGGCTTGAGTCCCCTCCCAGCATGTCCCCTCCTCATGCCCCATCTCTGCTCCCGGCTGCAGGCATGTGGGGCTTCCACGACCGGGACCTGGTTTTGCGGAAAGCTCTCTACACCATGATGAGGACAGGGGCTGAGAGGGAAGCCCTGAAGCGGAGGTGGAGGTGGCAGCAGACGCAGCAGAACAAAGAGGTTGGTGCCCAGATCAGGGACCTCACCAGGTGCAGCCACAAAGCCTGGGCCTCGGCCCTAATTCCAAGTCTGTCTCTGAGGTCAGGCAGACCTTTTAGGAGAACAAGGCCCCTCATTGAGACTTGCTGGGGGTGAGCCTGACCCTAGCACACGGGGAGCGCGTGGCCACTTACCGCCCCACCATCTTCTCTGTTAGAGGTCACCCATGTCAGGGCCCTGCAGGTGGCCACTTGAAGGCCAGGTACAGCCCAGGGTGGCCCTGGCCCTGCCCACAGCCCAGCCCTGAGTGTGCCCAGCAACTCCTCCTGCCCAGTGAGCATAGGCACACTGCTGTCCCTAAAAGGACCTGCCTGCCATCTGCTGGAAGGTAGCCCATTGTCCCCTTAGACTTTTTAATGGTCAGCCCAGGCCTGGTACATATATAGGTCGCCCCCCAGGAATGATCCTTGGTGCTGGGTAGACCCCCAGCGGCATTGAAATTAGAGATTAGAGGTTCTGAAAATATCATCCATAGCAAATTGGGACAGTCTGTGGCCACTAACAGGTGTGCCCGGCCTGGGTCGTGGTGGGGCTTGTAGTGGGCCCAGTGGTTGCCCACTGACCCAGCTGGGGAGAGTGAGGAGGCCGCTGCCCCCTCCTGACCCCGTGCCCCCTGTGCCAGTCAGGGCTGGTGTACACCGAGGACGAGTGGGAGCGAGAGTGGACAGAGCTGCTCAAGCTGGCCTCCAGCGAGCCACGCACACACTTCAGCAAGAACAGCGGCACGGGCGGGGGGTAAGTCCTGCCCCCAGCTTCGCCCTGCTCTCCAGGGAACACATAGCACTCCAAGATCGGGGACACAAAAACTCTCGCCTGCAGACGGTAGGTTCTACTCGAGGGCACAGGAAAAGTGTGAGCAATTGCTGCAGGCCTTCTGGACACTGGGGGAGTGTGCACAGCCCCACATGGGTGTTCACACAAGTTCCTTGGACTTCATCACAGCACATTGCCGGTGGTGGCGGGAGGGTGCTCATGACACAGCGAGCCTTTGGAGGTGGCACTGTCAGCCTTCAACACCCTGCTTCCTAATCAGCCCAGTGACAGCCCCTCCTTACTTTATCCCCAGCGTGGACAACTCTGAGGATCCGGTATACGAGAGCCTCGAGGAGTTCCACGTTTTTGTCCTGGCCCATATACTGAGAAGACCCATTGTCGTGGTAGCAGACACGATGCTGAGGGACTCGGGCGGAGAAGGTATGTTCACACATAACAAAGCAGGTGTGTCTCACTCTGACCCAGAAAGTGTCAACAAAGGAAGAGACAGCCAACGTGGGGCGGAGCTCCTGGAGGACCAGAGAGAATCCTCAGCTTGAGCGGCACTCGAGTCATTCCCCTCCCTCCACACCCTTCTCCTCCCCACTGCTTCTTCCTGTCCCCAAGGGCAGGGCAATGGCTCTGGGCCATTCATTCACCCTGCCTGTCAGCAGCAGGCGAAATCTGGCCTAGTGAGGATGGGACTAAACCCTGGGGACTTCTGGTCCCCACCTGAGTCTCCAGAGCTGCAGACAGCCCACACCTCTCCAGCAGTACTCCAGTCCCCTCCTGCCCTCTCAGGCCACCCTGTGTCAAAGAGAAAAAAGAAGACAGGAGACATGAGGTCAGCAGGCAGGCAGGTGGAAAGGACAGGAAGGGCTGCCTGCCCTCCCAGAGCCCAGCTCTCACTTCCACAGCCCCTTTGCATGTGCCTTTCCCTCAGCCCTCACCACAGCTCCCAGGGCAGACACCACCCACCCTGCCTCCCAGTCAGGAAACTGAAGCCCTCCACCAAGGCCTTGGAGGAACCAGGGGCCATCTCGCCCCAGGTAGTGAGGGTGCCGTCCGCGTCCCTGCTGGCTCCACACACCCTCACCCTTGTTTGTGTCCACAGCATTCGCACCTATCCCATTTGGAGGGATTTACCTGCCCTTGGAGGTGCCTCCCAACAGATGCCACTGCTCACCTCTGGTTCTTGCCTATGACCAAGCGCATTTCTCTGCCCTGGTGTCCATGGAGCAGAGAGATCAGCAGAGGGAGCAAGGTATGTCCATGTGCCGGGCAGGGTGGGCAGAGCTGGGCGCAGCAAGGGGAAGGAGCCTCCCTGGGAAGCAAGCCCTGCTCACTGGGGAAGCCAGGTTTCTGATGGGGAAGGGTCAGCGTGTAGGTGGGAGGCAGAGGAACCAGAAGCAACTGTTGCTGCGGGAAGGCCTGTTCTGGAGCCTTTCTGGCGGGTACGTCTACAGAGTGGGTTCTCAGTCCCTGTGGCCCCACCCCTCATCCCTCACCCCGGGCACAGCTGTGTCCTCTGCAGAGACATCTTCCTTCAGCCCCTGGGGTATCTCACCTGTGAGCAGGCAGGTCCCCGGAGCCTCACTCAGTACCTGGCCTTCCTAAACTAAGACCCAGGCTGAGGGGCTGCCAGGACCCACTTGGATGTCAGGCTCCAATCTTCCTGTGGGTGGGGGGCAGCCCAGCTATTGAGCATAGGAATTCCCAGGAGCCAGTGGTAGGGAGGTGAGGCCCAGGGGTGGGTGGAGTTTATCTTCTCCAAGTGTGGAGTCAGGAGCCCTCTCCCTGCATCTTCAGCAGGCACAGGATAGCGGAGAGGGAGGCCACATAGCCCAGCACTTCCCACAGCACCAAGACCCAAATTGTTCAAGGGGCACCCACAAAAACTGCCTCAAACAGATTATTGTTCTAGCCCTGGCCAGTTTGACTCAATGGTTAGAGCATTGGCCTGCGGACTGAAGGGCCTGAGGTTCAATTTCAGCCAAAGGCACGTACCTCGGTTGCAGGCTTGATCCACGGCCTCAGTCAGTGTGCATGCGGGAGGATACCCATCGATGTGTCTCTCTCACATCGATGTTTCTCTCTCCCCTTTCTCTCCCTTCCACTCTCTATGAAAAAGCAATGGAAAAAAATATCCTCAGGTGAGGACTGAAAAATAAATAAGAGCCATGGTGTTTGTTTAAAATGTCACCCTTGGCCCCTCCTCCTGGACACTGGCTTGGCCGCCTGCGTGGTGGCTGGAATTGGGACCTTTTCCGAGGATTGCCATGTCCTCCTCGGCAACGCTAGAGGGCAGCATTGAGTCAATTGAACAGATTTAACGGTACTGTATTCAGTCTTAGATTCTGTTTGTTTGCCTTTTGTTCTTGCCATGGCACCCTTGCTGTAAATCATGGGGGACTGACACCTGGCTCACGGCCAGAACCTGGAGGGAGGGGAGGGAGGAAAAGGAAGAGGCAGGCCCAGGCCGGGGTGGTGCCTCGGGGCTCGCTGACCCCAAAGGCTCTTGGTGCCAAAGGAAGCACCATGTGCCTGGATGGGGGCCAGGCCACATCTGGCTGCCAGGGGCGGAGCAGGAGGGAGGTGCTCCTGTGTGGAGCTGTGCACTGGAGTGGGGCAAGGAATAGGCCTGAGATAGGGAGCACAGGCCCAGCACTGGTGGTCTCAGCCCTTCTGCGTCTCTAAGGGGGGGCCGGCCACTTCTGCTTCCCAGGCTGGCGGATAGTGGAGGTGAGAGCCCCTGGTGGAGGCCCCAGCCCCATCCGACTGTAACACACGAAGGTGCAGCAGGTTTGTGTCCTGCACCCACAGGTGGCCACCCTCAGCGTTTGGACTGGCAGGCTCCCCTGTGGCACTGCCCCCACCAAGCAGACACAGGCATGAAGCCAGGAAGCCCCTACAGCCACAAAGCCTCTGGCCTGGCCTCGGCCCCTGGCTGTGCTGCTCTGAGGGGTCAGCAGGGGGAGGCTGTCTCCCTTTCTTCCTGCTCCTGGTCCTGGTCCTTGACAAGAGCTGCTGTGTCACTAGGAGCTGTTCTCACTGGTCCCCAGCTGCTCAGAAACTCCTAGCAGATCCCAGACAAACCTTCCACACACTCCGCCCAGCCCTTCTGGGAGGTGGGGCAACACTTTGCCAGCTTCCTGTGCCTCTCAGGAAGGTTTGTGATGAATCAGTTTCCCCTCCCCCTCGAATCACTGCAGTCTCCACCTGCCTGTCACCTCCTCAGAAGGCCCCCTCCCCGGTCAGCCCTAGAAAGGCTGGCCTCCCTCCCACAGCCTGCTGTTCACCTGCAGGGCACTTATCTATCACTACCTGGCATGACAAAGTATTTGTCACCCACTCATCCTGCTCCAACACAGCACACAAGCCCCTGGGTCCATGGGTCCCCTGCACTGATAAAGACTTGAATGAAACCACAAATGAGAGGAGCAGGCAGCCTGGGACCTTCCCTGGGAGGAGAGGGGAGGGTCAGGCCCCAGACCACCTTGACCTTCAAGGTGACCTTGCACAGTGTGCTTGGTCCGCCTGGGTCTTTCCTCAGAAATAACAGAAGCAGGATTCGCCTTTTCCTGTCTGCAGACAGACCCAGATCCTTAGCAGTTTCCAGGTGACAGCTCCAACTACTCCAGATCCACCATGAACATGAAATCCTTAGCTGTCGGTAGTGGGGGG